GACCAAACTCTTTGTAATGAGGGGAGACTGTGACAACCCTCACTATTGATTACTGCTAAACTGTGACTGAACATGATAAGTAACTGATTAGGATGAAATCCTAAATTGATTGCATGAATATGTTATGTTAAATGCATTTGTATCTGTTTGTCATTGATTTATCTATTCATGTTTTAAGTTTCGAACTATAAATTGAAGGCCTTATCGGTGGCCGAATCCAGAACTGATTAGTGTTTTGTGTTAATTAGAATTAATATGATTTTATGGTATGTTTAGTTGAAATTTGATTTGGTATGATTAAATTGGATTAAATAATGTTGAATTACATCAATTTGAGCTATTTACCAAATTGCCACTTAGTGGACTTTTTCATGAGCCATTTATTTGATTTATCTATGTTAGCATTATCACAACTCTTCAGCCATTTTCCTCAAGTCCAAACCGAGTGAGTGAGAGAAAGAGAGTAGGAAAATTGATTTCAACAAGTTTTGGCTAGGAAAATTTGAAGAATTGAAGAAAGGATTGCATAATTAGGCTCCTACACCTTAACATTCGAGACCTAAGGTAAGAACTTATCTTCTTGATTATGAGTTTTAGTTGTGTCTTGCATGGTCTAGGATGATATTGAAGTCTAGAGCGAAGATATGATTTAAGATGTGGAATTGAGTAGTAAATCATGCATGCATGTACATGTTCTAGCATTTTGAGGTTGTTTTCATGGAAATTGCTACATGCACGTCTATATTATAGCTACGGTCCATGAATTCATCATGTTTTTGAGTGAATTGACTCATTTGATTATGTATTGGAAGATTTGAAGTTGATTAAATTCATGCATGTTGCATGTTCATCATGTTCTTGAATGGAAATGGGTTCAATTGAAATACCTTTGGGTTTTGATTTTGCAAATTGATCTTTGAAACATGTCATATTATGAGTTTTAAAGTGTTTTCCAGAAAATTAGCCCAAAAGGATCGAATTTAATGCTTTAAATGTTGAGTTTCATGCTTGGAGACAAATTTGGATATTCCAGATTTTGGATCCACGCTCGAGCGAGGAATTTTACGCTCGAGCGTACACTCTGAGTTCATGCAGTCCGCTCGAGCGAGTAAAGTGACGCTCGAGCATGAAATGCATGTATCCAGTACTTTGCATGTGTTTACAGTCCGCTCGAGCGAAGGAATGCACGCTCGAGCGAGGACTTGTGTCTCACGCTCGAGCGGGAATCGAGCGCTCGTCGAGCATGAATTTTATGCATCCAGTACTTTTGTTGTCTGCTCAAGCGAGGAAAGTCACGCTCGAGCGGAGCTCCTTTGTCTGCATGTCCGCTCGAGCGTAGAAAGCCACGCTCGAGCGAGACCCCTATTTTCTGAAAATTCTAAAAAGTGTTTTTAAGTGTATCTTTGCATCCTCATTCCATCCTAGGCATTCCTAGGTCTAGTTTAAGGCATCTTAATGAGGATAATGCTATAGAACCACACCGAGGATGCTCACTAGCCTATTTGTAGCCCAAAACTCTGTGTGTAACAATGTTATAAAGATATATTCAATCATTAATATTTTCTGAATGATCAACTGTACTGCTTTCTGAAATGATATTTCTTACTGAATGAATGCTTGTCCTATTAGCGAACTGTATTCGTGGTATCCATAGCAATTTACTGTTACTGCACTGTACTGCTACCGTCACAGAGATTTCTGTCGGTTCCCATGTTAGAACCACTACTGTTTACTGATATGATGGCCATCAACTGACTGTTCAATCTGTTAAGACCTACTGTACTGTTTTGCTATGGAATGTACCACATATGACTGCTATGACCAAATGACTGATATACTGTTATAACTGACTATTTTAAATACTGAAAGGACATTCATTCCTAACCTCTTTATGCATATGTTATTCACTGGGCTTTAGCTCACTGTTTATATATATATGTAGGTGTCCAGGCACCGGATCGAAGCTAGGAGCATTGGGTTAAACTTCCTTTTTGTCAAGCCAACCACTGTGCCTCACTGAGAGATTCCAAGTCCTTCAAGCTAGGGCATTTTGGGGTGTTTTAGATTCATCCTTTCTGTCTCTGTTTTTGTATAGACTGGCTGTACATGTACTGTACTGTTCTAATAGGGATTACGTTCCTGTCCTGGATGATTGGATATGTATGTATATACTGTTTTGATTCTGAATGTGAACATGTATGAAAAATCTTTTTTTTGCATACAGACTGTCACAACTCATTGGACATCTTTTATTACTGTTTTGGCTTCCGCCAGCCCCTGTACTCTATATTACTGTTATTACTGTTAAGCAGGCCTTTGGTAATCACAGATTACTGACCGGTTACAGTGCTAAACCCATAGGGGGGGTTTGGGTCGTGACACTAAGGCTGCTACTAAACTGGCTGAAGTCAAGGCTCAGTTAGGTTGCTCTACTAAGGATTTAGAGGTCGTTTTGCACAAGACAGTGGCATTCGAGTTTAAGGTGGCGACGGAGCGAAAGAAAGTCGAAGCCCAACAGATCTATGCCACTGCGAGAGATCAACTAGAAGAAGCTCTCACCAACAATGAAGAGCTTCGTGATCTATCCCTGAAGGAGAAGAAAGAGGCAGACACACGAGTGACTGAGTTGACGAGAACGCTTGCAGCTGAAAAAAAGGACGTTAGAGGCAAAGGGGGCAAAAAACGGAAGAGCTAACCAGGACATTGGCTTTAGAGCGGGCTACCTATCCTAACCTCTACGCAGTAGCAGTTGAACAACTCAAGTAGTCAACCGAATTCAAAATAGCGGTTGACACAGCTATTGCAACAGGCTTAGCAAGAGATGGGGAGGGTAATGTTGGCCCCTCTAGAACCAGAGTTGCTGAGATGATAGAGGGGCAGACAAAGGCCCAAATTCTTGAAAACTTCCAACAGTCAGACTACTTCAAACATTTGCTCAGCATATGCCGGGATAGTGGCTAGGTTAGTTTTAAATAAAGGGCAGAGGCGACATTCCTGATATCGACTTCGACCATATAAATTTTTAGCACCATACAAATAATGTCACAAGGTGCACTGGAACACTAGAATAATTATCTTTGTACATGTAAACTCCATTATACAAATCTAGATAGAGATCATTTTTGTGACCCAACTCGATGCTGACCCTTACATTTTTTTTTTTTTATTGCACTTGGCTCCACAATAATTATAAAGAAAATGAGGTACATAAGTTGTAAATGTAATGTTTAAATAATAAGTGAAGGGTAAAGTTTTTTATTTTTTTGTGACGAATAATTTTTTTCTCTATTTCTTTCCAATTTTAAAGGAAAAAAAAAGAAGTGTTTGAAATATTTGTAATCTTTCCCCCTCGCAATCTAGAACATTCTTTTCCTTTCAAAAAATAATTCAAACATAATAATTAACTAACAGTTGGCCAGTGCAATATCCGTATTATTTTTAAAAAAAAAAACATTTAATGGTACAATGTATATTATAAAATAATAATTTTAATTATTTATTTTGATAATATTGATGTTATTGCTTTGTAAAATTGTTTTTTGTTAAATTAATTGTCTATTTTGATATTATAGTTCTATCATATTATAAAAGTATAATTATCATATAATAATTTTGTATGACATATATTAAATTATAAAATAATAAAGATATTAAAAATAATAGTTAAAGTAGAAGAAGAATTAGTAATATAAAATTAAGAGTAATTGTAACTATTTAATTTTTTTATATATATTCATTTGGAAAATAAAAATATGTAGAAATAGAAATTATATAAAATTTATTATAAAAATTAAATATAATTATATTGTTGTTATATTCATATAACAGTATATAAATCCAAAAAGAAAAAATAATAAAAACATCCAAACGATAGATACATTTCAACGTGTGAAGTGATTAGTCATCTGTAATATGATACATTTCAACGTGTGAAGTGATTAGTCATCTGTAATATGATGTTAAAACATAAAAGAACTTATTATTGAACAATTGAAAGAAAAATTCAAGCAGTAAATCTAAACTTTAGAGGTTCGTCAAGAGTATCATTATTGTACATGTTCTACCTCATGTCAGTTGTGATTATATAAAATAATATAAGAAAAAAAAGTATAATTTCATATATAGAATCATTATAAAATTTAAAAGACAAATGTATAATATAGAATTGGTATTGAGTATAAAATAATACATGAAAAAATAAGAAAAAAAGAAGACAATTTAGCATTAAAAAAATCGTAATACTTTTGAAAGAATTAAGAAGGAAAAAGTGAAATGCAAAATTGGTATTGAGTTTGTGGATTATCTTAATTTATTATGAAAAATATATAGAAAAAAATATTTATCAAATAGAGTCATTATAAAATAGATAAATTTAGTATAATTTAAATTATGTTTGAATTTGTGTAAAATTCTATATGTAATTAAAAAAATATATGTTGATGTGACTCTCTTATAAAAAAATAAACTTTTATAATGTATCACCTAAATATAAGAAAAATATTATTTTGAATATATATATATGGTTTTTGCTTTGATAGCTGTGATTAGGACCCCCTTATATTCTCACCACCTCCACTCCCACACACACGTGGGGTTGGTGAGTGGGAGAGAAGAAAAAAAAAAAAAAAAATTTAACCAATCAAAAGGCAAAGGGGTCGTGGGAGTCCCTTTGAAAGGGGGTTTCAATTCAAATTGAGTAGTTTCCATACGAGATGATAGGATGAATATGAATCTCATTTGAAAATAATTTTTATTTATATTGATAACATTACCTGGTCATTCTTATAGTATTTTATTTTATTTTGTATGAATTTATTATAAAGATAGAATTATTATTATTATTTATTTTTTTGAAAAAAAACCCGAATAAATACTCCAAATTATTAAACAATTAATGACTTTATCCCAACATAAAGGCTTGGGTAAAAAAAGGCAAGCGTTATGAATAAAATATCATGTGCAATTATAACAATATATAATATCTAAGGGAATAGTAGACTTTTCTGAGTCACCTATAATCAAGCCACCATTAAGGCACACATTCGTTAATCATTTCTCTCTCTCTCTCTCTCTCTCCCTCTCTCTCTCTCATCAACTCCTTTCTTTTTGTTGTTCTTGCAGTTTGTCTCCAGCCATGGGCAAAGTAAAGAAACTCAGAGATCTGATAGGAGTGATCAAAGACAAGGCTTCACTATCCAAAGCAGCCCTTCTTTCAAAACCCAACACCCTCTCTCTCCACGTAGCAGTCCTCCGAGCCACCACCCACTCCTCCTCCACGCCGCCAGACGTCAAGCACCTAGAGTCCCTCCTATCTCTCGGCGACGCCTCACGCGCCACCGCCTCCGCCCTGGTGGAGTCCCTCATGGACCGGCTCCACCGCACCGGAGACTCCTCCGTAGTCCTCAAGTGCCTCCTCACCATCCACCACATCATCAACCGCGGCCCCTTCATCCTACAAGACCAACTCTCCATCTTCCCTTCCTTCGGCGGTCATAACTACCTCAAACTCTCCGCCTTCCGCGACGGCGCCACCGCCACCACTTGGGTCCTCTCTGCCTGGGTTAGGTGCTGTTTTCTCCCTAAAATTCATATTCATTATTTTTCATATTAATTGCACCAAGATCCCTTCAAATATTATGAAATATCATTTTACATCATATTCATTCACGAATCAATACATTTTGGCCATGCAATTATAAAGAAGGCATCATTTTCATATATTTATAAATTTTTTATAGTCGAGAGACTAATATATACCACATGGATTTATAAATAAGCAAGATAAAATGATATTATTAATAGCTGAATTATTTTTCTTGAAAATTCAAAGATATTCAATTTCTAATTTCAACAATTATAGACTGTTTTTATCGTACGACAAATTCGTTCTAACTCGTTGCACATTAAATTCTATAGAATTGGTTCGGACAAATATGTAACACGACTTGAAACCAGCGTTATTTCTCTCAAATTTTATCTAATTCCGTCACATTTACTATATTTGCATCAACAGGTGGTACGCTCGCTACCTCGAAACCCTATTATCCACTTCAAGAACTCTGGGTTTCTTCCTATGTTCATGTTCATCCACTCTAGAGAAAGATAAGCAAGATGAGAGGCTCTCATCATTCATGACCGTTGATTTAATCAGAGACGTTGATTCCTTAGTTGGATTGATCGAAGAAATCTGCAAAGCACCCGATTCTCTCCACGTCGAAGGCAACAGGTTGTTGGACGAGATCATGGGCTTGGTAGGTGGCGATTATCTGTCGGCAGTCAACGAGGTTTCGTTACGACTCAGTGAGTTCATGGAGAGACTGAGTTGCCTCAGTTTCGGTGAATCGGTTGAGTTGATGTGTTGTTTGAATAGGTTAGAAGATTGTAAAGAGAGATTGGTGGTGGGGTCATTTACAATAAAGAAGCCTTCAACGGAGACTTTGTGGGGTTTGATCAGAGAGTTGAAGAATAGGGTTGGGATGATCGATGTTTATAGAGAGAGTGGGAAGTTGGTAAGCGTGGGGCGGAGAGAGAAGGGAACTGAGTCAGCTCGGTTTGGCGACCGAGTTGTAAAGTATGGTGACTCGGTTCAGTTTTCTTCATCAAGGTTTGGTTTGGACAAGTTATCTTTTATGGTTTTAAATTGAATTAATTGATCACTTTTGTTGTTGTGAAATCAACATCTGTTTGATACTTATGTTATAAATTGGGAGTTCATTGGATATTAGAAAGGAAAAAATTGTAAATACGTGGTATTTCTATAAAATATTTATAAATTTATAATTCTTTTCATTTTAATTTTTTTACATACTGAAATGCAATTTCCCCTATTAAAAATAAAGAGGAAGAGGAAAAAATAAATTCATAACCAAAGACACAATTTTGAGCACTAAAATTGTTTATTTGATTGATTTTGGTATAAGCATATGCTCACTTGTAAATGTGAATACTATGAAAATTAAGCTCAATTTATTTTATTTTTTTGAATTTAAAAAAAAATATATGTAAAAAAATAAAGCGACGTTGTGTTTTAAAAAAGTAAAAAATTCAAAAAAAAAAAAAATTGGCTTTTAAAAGTCTAGTGGCACGCCACCAATAGTAGAATCAGAATTTTGATCCTAAGGGGTCAACTTTTAGCTTTACTTCTTCACAGATTATTTTGATACATAATTTTTTCCAGTGAAACACTTTCCTTGCGAGTCCTCTCAAGCCTTGAAAATGATTTCAAATTGATGTTCACCCTTTTTATAATGTTTTCGGTTAGAATTTGTTTTTGGGGTCTAAAATTTGTTGGGATTCATATGCTTCTATATATAGGTACATCCACTTGTTATATTTGGGCATATTAAAGTCCCAAAGTGTAATCATTTAAGGGTCTTATTGATGACCTCTCATTGAGTGTTTGATAAGAACTATATAATGCCGAAAAAGATAGAATTTAATACACATTTAACATATTCTTACATAATCACGAGCGTGTGGCTTAGTGGCTTGTGCATTCCTCAGCAAGACTTTGGAGTTTGACTGGATTTGTTCCTCAGTTTGAGTCTCGACAGCTGCAACACCTCGTGGCCAGCGGCAGAGCGAGGATTAGTACTCCATGAGAAACCCAAAAAAATAATAATAATAAAATAAAATATTTTCTTATATTTTCATATTTTTATATATATTTTTCACATATTTTAATACATTTTACATGCATACCAACATTAAGAACTGCTCATTTTAAGGTGGTTAGCATTTCATATTATATTTTATTGGCATAAGTTTTTAAAAGGAAATTTATTTGGTGAACAGAACTCATCCCTCTATGAAGAGAGTTTTGCCTAAAGAGATTTTAAAAATTGTGGGGAATGTGCCAATGGTGTAATTTTTTGGGGATATATATATATATATATATATATAATGTATACTATATATATATT